CTGGCCCCGCTGTAAGCCAGTGGAGGGGGCTGCCCACAGCCGGTCCCCAGCCCCGAATGCAGAAGAGCCCCTGCCCACCGCCCGGCCAGCAGGTCTCGGAAGCTGCCGTCACGAGGCGCAGAGCAGGGAAAGAGAGCTTGTGTGCCTGTGGGAACACAGTCAGGGAGAGAGAAAGGGTCTTCACAAAGAACTGCCCCTCTGATAAGATGGAGTTCTTTGCGATGACCAGGACAGGTGAGCCTGCTCTCCTGCGGCCTTGCTGTAAAAATGGACTTTGCGAAACCCGGCATTTTTCTGGCACTCCTGGGCTCACTGGACCGGAAAGAGTTGCTCTCCTCTCCCTCCCTGCCCACCTTGGTTCTCTAGGTTTGGCCGCCGGACCACCTTCGTGCTTCCCTTGATACTGTCCATCCCGCTGGGACTCACTGTGGCGCTGGCGGTGGATTACCTCATGCTGGTTATCGCGCGGCTGCTCTTTGGGGCCATGCTGGCTGGGACCTTCCTCTCCCTCTACGTGGCACGTGAGTGGTCTCCTGCCTCTTTCACGAAGGCTCTGGGTCCTACAAGCTCTGCTGTCCTCCAGGACAGACAGCAGGAGGCCCTCCTGGCTGTCAAAAGAGCCCCTCCCTGTAGGCCCGTCGTGCACGGGTCGAAGGTACATTGCCCCCCCCCCCATGTAATCTCAGACCTCGGAACTAGGTGGCTTCAGCTGAATGATCCTGGGTTTGGGGCATCCTTCGGTCAGAGGCTGTTGTCCTGAAATGCAACATCCTCGTGACCTGAATGGCTTCCACGGAGGTTGGTGAATCTCCCGTGTCTCTTGGGCAGGTTTAGGAAATTGGTGGTCCTCCAGCGTTGCTGAACTGCAAGTCCTGGCCTCTCTTCCCTGCTGGCTGCTGAAGCGGGAAGCCCCCAGTGACACCAGATGCATTTAGTCTCGGCCAGAGCGCAGCCCCAGCGCTTGCTCAGCCCCACTGATTTGTGCTCCTTCTCCGTCTTCCCCCATTCGTGCCATCCCTGTGCTTCTCCTCAGGCCTGGAGTTGTGTGACCCCCCCCACCGCCTGATGGTCACTATGAGTGCCAGCTTCTTCTGGGTTGCTGGGCAGCTGTTCCTGCCAGGACTGGCCGTGGCCTGCGGGGAATGGCGGCTGCTCCAGGGAGCCATCACGCTGGGGCTTGCTCTGCTGGCCGCTTGCTGGTGGTGAGTGCACCTCTCGCCCCTGGACGCTGAGGGGCCTGTCTCCTCCCTTGGCCCCCGTTGGCGCACTCCACTCCTTCCTTGCTGCCTCACCTACTCTAGGGGACTAAGTGGGCGTGCAGAGAGAAGAGGACTCGCTTCTCTGGCCACGTTAGGAGCCCCGAATGAGCCCCACCCGCTTCAGATTCGGAGGGGAGCCTTCCTGTAGCAAGGGCGCTGTGGGGCTTGAGGCTGCTGCTTGCTTTCCTTAAGACCCACGCGGCCGGGGATCAGCCAAGGAAAGTGGCCGGGACCGCCCACAAAGTGGGCAGCTGAACCGGAGTGGAAGGTGGATGTGTTTTTCCCCACCAGCAGCACATTCTTTCCAGGCACTTCAGAAGGGGTTGGGCAGTGCCCCTGTTCAAAGATGCCAGAGCAGGCTTGGCAACTGTAGGAGGGGAGGTCGTCTTATGAGTCAGTAATGGACGTGGGAACAAAATTGCCTTACGAGAGCTGTGCCCAAAGGGGGCTCTCGGGGAGCTGCCCTGCTTTTGTTTATCAGCCGTTTACGAAGACCTAGATCTGGGGCGTGCCACAAAACGGCCAGGTGTTCTGTGGGCGCATCAGGCGGGTGGAGCGCTGTGTGCAGCGTTCGCAACAGGAAGGGACGGCCGCTAAGGGCTTCTTCAAACCGGGGAAGAGCCCTGAAAGCTGTGGAATGTGGTTCTGCAGAAGCAAGTGTCAAAAGAGGCGCATGTGCGCAAGCCAGGCAAGTGAGCACCCGCTGGGAGCAGCCCGGAAGGGGCGAGAAGCAGGTATGTGACAGCGCTTGGGATTTTGCAAAAGGTGTGGCGAAAGCGCTGGAGGAGGAGATGCGGCCGCCTTAATGGTGGTGGTTTTGCTTGGCGTCAACTGACTGTGTGCAATATCCACCCTGTCTCCTCCTCCTCAAGCTTGCGTTGCGGAAGGTCTATGGCAGCTTTTTCCATTATGCAGACCGGGAAACAGGCCCACAGGGGCTTTTTGCTCCCCCCCGGCCCACCTTCCTTTGGCCCCATCCAGCAGCTGGTTGTCTTCCTCCCTGCCCACCCAGGTCTCCTTCTCTGTTTCTCGAGTCAGCCCGCTGGCTCTTGGCCACTCAGCAGCTGGAAAAGGGCAGGCGGGCCCTGCTGGACCTGGCCAGGGGCAACGGAGTCAGCCCAGAAAATAGCTCCCCGACGGGGGAGCCCCTCTTGGCAGGTGGGTCTGCCTGCTGGGCCTTGCGGGCTCCTGGCAAATGCTGCTGGGGGTGACGGTGTGCGTGGCCACCTAGACCCACAGACTGGGAGCCCCTGAGCAGAGCCTGTCAGGTGGCATGGCCCTCCCCTTCCTCGGGCCTCCCTGGCTCCATCCGCTGGGGGTGTCCTCCAGTGCACATCTGGCCTCAGCTGACCGGCCGGCCAGTTGGGCCTGGGATCAAGCTGTGCTTTTCTCCCCAGAGCTGGACAGCTGGCCAGGCGGCAGCCCCCGAGCAGAGTACCACAGCGTCTGCCGGCTCTTCAGCACGCGGGTGGTGTGGAAGAACAGCCTCATTCTTGGCTTCACTGCGTAAGCGTTCCCAGGGGGGCCAGGTGGAGACTGGCCTCGTCCTTGGACAGACCCTCTCTTCCTCCTCCTCCTCCTCTTCCTCACAAGCTGCACCGGGGACCCCCCGTGCAACGCCTCCCTCGCTTGCTGGCTGCAAGACATTCTGTGGACTTAAAATCCTCCCCCCGCCAGGTTCATCGGGAGCGGGATCCGTCACTGCTTCACCCGCAACTTGGCTCCGTACGGGCCCCACTTTTACTTCCCCTATTTCCTGATGGCGGGGAGCGAGGCGGCGGCTGTGCTCTTCCTCTGCCTGACAGTGGACCGCTTTGGCCGCCGGGCCATCCTGCTCCTCAGCACCGTCCTGACTGGCGTTTCCTCCCTGCTGCTGCTGGCCCTGATGCAGTGTAAGGAGACGGCTGCTGGGCGGGTGAGGGCAAGGAGGGGGACTGATCCTGCTGGATGGTCTGGGCTCTCGTGTTTGTTGGGCCCCTGCGAGGGGGCTTCCCTCGTCCCAGTTCTCCATTGTGGCCTTGTCCAAACTGAGTCAGATGCAGCTTGGCTCGCTTGCTCGAGTCACCTGCTGAGGCTCATGTGGCAGGAGCCAAGGGGAGGGGAGGATTAGCTGAAGAATGCTCAGCCAGCCTCTCTCCTCCCTTTCCTAGACTTGATGACATGGCTCATCTTGGCCCTCTCCGTCCTGGGCATTCTGGCATCCCAAGCTGTCGCTGCCCTCAGTGTCTTCTTCGCCGGCGAGGTGCTGCCCACCGTGGTCAGGTGAGGCGGCATTGGCTCCCCGTGTAGGCAGATGGCAGAGCTGGAGCCGAAGCTCCGATTCAAGGGGGGTGTCAGCTTGCCTCAAAGGCCATCCCAGTCAGCCAGGCCAGCAGCGGAGCGTCTCTGGGCAGACAGACGCTCCACTCCTGCGTGGGGCTCCTTACCCTTGTGCAAGAGCGGAGGATGCTGGATTGGCCCCCAGCTCCAGAGCAGAGGATGCTGGATTGGCTTAGTCTGTGCTGGGGAAGGGCTCCAGGCGAAGAGCGGGAGGCTGTGCCCTGGCTGGGAGAGGCAGGGTGGGGGCCGGGGGGGGGGGGGGGGGG